GACAGAGGCAGTTAGTCTAGACGTACCCACACTCAATAGGCAGACTAAGCACATGCTTAGGGCACAAGCAAAGCAGGGGCACAAAATAAATACGTAAATATTTTTAATTAATAGGGGGGGTGGAGGGAGACACCATAATCTTTTCAGTGCTTAGGGCTTCTAAAGGCCTTAATGTGGCCCTGAGTAGGACTAATTTATATGCTCCTGTTAGTTGCTTTTCCTGCTGCATCTTTTTGATCCCTCAGTGAGAGGGACAAGCTGGAGTGCCTTATTGCAAATTAGGCCTTTGTCCTCCACTAATAGCAATAGGCTAACAATTATGAGGGAGAATGCAGGGTGTTGCCTTTGACCTAAAAGTATGGCATAGTATCCCCACAGTGCTACTTAAATTTGTTTAAAAAGAGTCCAAGATTCCTGCTTTCCCTTCAGCATATATTCCTCTACTGGAAGAATCAGTCCCTATCTCATGTTAGATTTAGGAACAGTTCTATTATAATACTGTGGAGTCCATTGTTAACAAACCAGAAGCTTGAACATCTTAACCTGTCCATTCATTAAGCATGAAGGTCTCTTCCAACAGCCTCAGACTGCTATTTATATTGCTAGCCCTTTGGGTTCCTCCCCTCCCCCAAAACTTCAGCATGACACTAAACCATCCTCATTTCCAATACTGTGTATATAGGCATTGGAGGTTTCATTTGTGCAGATAGGGAGACTCCAGCTGCTGAACAGGTTAGCGCAACTGTTCTTTAGAGATCAAATTTAACTAGTATCCATTAGTACCCTGATGACAAAAGTTTTGCAGTGGATTGCTTTCCAGAGCATATGAAGATGCAGCATGTATACTAAGCAAGTTAAATAGTGTCAGTTGTCTGAAGTTTCAAATGCAGGCTTTTAATCCAAACAAACAACTATTTTCAGTTCTGATTTTCAAATGGAGTATATTGGCTGCAGAGGAGGGTGGAGAGAGAAAAAGTGAGTTCTGATTTTCAAATGGAGTATATTGGCTGCAGGGGAGGGTGGAGAGAGAAAGTTTATCTGTATATGTCTCAGTGAGCTTAACAAAATTTAGTTTTTCCATTCATATGCAAAACAGAGAGAACACTGACACTCAGTACAGTAGGCATTTAGAGTCAGATGCAAGGATGCCCTATTGCAGTGTAGACAAACAGCTGTCCAGGCCATCCTGCACAGACTTCCTCCTCTAAACTGTAGAAATGATGACTTGGTACCATTAAAGTTTTCTATTAAGGTGGACAATAAGCACAGACAAGCTGGAACAAAGCTAAGAGGAGTGGAAGGAGACTGAAGGCAGGAAACAAATGCAGCAGCAACATTTGACCCATCTGTGTAATGCATCTGATGCTGGTGAGTATGGTAGCCAGCAGTTCACCTACTTTATTTGCATTTCAAGACTGCCTTCTCCTGGATTCAATTCCACAATATGGAGACTCACTAAGGAAGTGCTAAAATGCTTGTTTATATACCATTCAAATGAGACAGACTTTGGCTGCTGTAGCATTTATTATTGAACACATACAGATTGTAATACAAAAAAAAAGTGAAAAAGCACTACAAAAAGACACACAAGACTAAGCACCCTGGTACAAAAAACCCTCCCATGAATCATACATTCACATTCTGTACTGCAGATTTTACTCCATACTGCCTTTAGCTGACTGTCAAAGGGAAAAAAAATAATTTAATAAAAAGATCTGAAAAACATCAGAACAATGGAGATTCACAGCCTTAAATAACTTTGGCTAAACAACTTAGAAGCCTCTCTGCAAAGCAAGTGACAGATTCATAGTAAGGCATTATGCTTTTGTGATCTGGCCAATGAAGATTATTCTTTAAGACAGCTCAATAATCAAAGCCATCATAGCTAAATGCACAGTCTGGGATACCGGAACATCAGTGGAAGTTTGACAGAGTTGTCTCGCTGAGCTGCAGGACTTCTAAATGGGCACGAAACAAGATCATGTTAGTTCTATGTTTTTCCTGCACAGGTAACTGACTTCCAAGTTTCCGGTTGTGAGGAGTTCTATTTAAGGTCTGATATTTGATATTTTAAAAAGCCTTCTCTTGTCTGACGTTTAGCCAGGTAGTGGAACAAGGTGAGTAACTGCTGTAAGCTGTAGAAGTTTGAAGCTTCAAGGTGCTCTGTGCTGTTCATTATTTCCAGAGGCACTCTTACAGGACAGCAAAACATTCAAGCTACGTCTACACTGGCCCCTTTTACGAAAGGGGCATGCTAATTTTAAACTTATACCCCCCGCGGAATTTAAATAAAGAGGCCCGCCGCTTTTTTCCGGCTTGGGGAAAAGCCGGAAAAAAGCGTCTAGACTGGCCCGATCCTCCGGAATAAAGCCCTTTCCGGAGGATCTCTTATTCCTACTTCAAATCCCCCGCGGATTTCCCTATTACGAAGTTTAAAATTAGCATGCCCCTTTCGTAAAAGGGGCCAGTGTAGACCTAGCCTTAGTGAAAGGCCCTTTCTTGGATTAGAAAGGAAACATTTAGTTTTTTAGTTTCCCCCCCTCCCCACATCGTTGATATTTGTCCCCATAGGTCACCTGACAGCTACAGAAGTCAAGTCACCTTGTCATGCACTCTGACCTGTGTGCTATGCAATTAATCTCTGTGTTCGGGCCATTTGTCATGTTGGCTGGCATTTTTCTCACCTTCACCCTTGCGCTCAGAATGCTGAGACCCATCCAGTTGTGGGTAAAAGGGACCTACCAGCCAGTTGAGTGGTGTGTTGTTAACAAGATAATCCATCACATCATCCAGAGACTCCTTCATTTTCTTCAGATGTCCTTTGCTAGTGGTGAGGAGAGTATCTGATACTTCGTGGAGAGAGGAAGTAGAACGGAAGCTCCTATAGACATCTCCTGCCATTGCCCCAACATGATGAACTTGGTCCTGAATGTTCTGCGGCAAGCCTTGTATACTTGACACCAGGGTAAGGCAGGTGGTCTGAAGCTGCCGAGTCAGGCTCTGTGCAATAGCTAGTGTGCGTGACTCAATGTGCTGAAACAAACCATAATAGCATCTCAGAGTTAGTTATTAGCCAGAGAGTTGGTCACTGCAAAAATTTTACTCTAATGCCGAAAGTTCACACCATGGACTGAAGTAAGAGGGAGATGGAGAATTGAAGTTATGGCTTCTGAGATTAGGGCCTTCCTTTTTCAGAGAATGAAATTATAGGTCAGACCTCTCTGGTCCTGGATGAGGGATTGCTCTGGACCATGAGAGGCCATTTCTGGCTCCCCTGCTGCTGGACTACCTCCTACCCCTCCCACTGGGCTTCCTGGCTTCCCATCACAACTCAGCTGCACTGTGCACCTGCCCCTGCATCCCCTGCCCAGGCCAGCTTATCTGTGCAGTTGGCTTCCCAGCTTCTACCCCCTCCTGCCAAAGCTTAGCTAGGCTGCACACAGCCCCTGCCTGGGGCCAGAAGCCTATCCATTCCACCCCCTGCAGTGTACCAGGGCAGATCTCACAACACTTAAGGTCCTTCTAGACCATGGATGCTGTTGGACCAGAGAATTCTGGTTTATAGAGGTGCAATCTGTATTAAGCTACTGGCTTGAAGGCGCTTACTAAGGTCAAGACCTGGTTTTTGAAAACTCTTGGATCTTTTAGATCCCAGAGCTACAAGTCTGATGTGCTCTTTTACATAGAAATATCTGGCTCTGCTCCTTGTGTTCTTTAGCTATTGCAATAAAAGTCAAAGTGAACTGTTGATGCTTCTAGCTTAAAGTTACAAGCTCAACTATCAATTACTGCATTTGTGCTGTTATCAGACTTGGTATCCAATAGCCTTGGGAGCAGAGAAAAGTCTGGCAGGATGGCAGAAAGTAGTAAGGATGGCAGGGGGGAGGGAGGGGGAGGAGAGGTAAGGGTATGTCTACACTACCCTCCTAGTTCGAATGAGGAGGGTAATGTAGGCATACCGCACTTGCAAATGAAGCCCGGGATTTGAATTTCCCGGGCTTCATTTGCCTAAGCGGGGAGCCGCTATTTTTAAAACCCCGCTGATTCGAACCCTGTGCAGCGCGGCTACACGGGGCTCGAACTAGGTAGTTCGGACTAGGCTTCCTATTCCAAACTACCGGTTCCACGAGGTGTACCAGTAGTTCGGAATAGGAAGCCTAGTCCGAACTACCTAGTTCGAGCCCCGTGTAGCCGCGCTGCACAGGGTTCGAATCAGCGGGGTTTTAAAAATAGCGGCTCCCCGCTTAGGCAAATGAAGCCCGGGAAATTCAAATCCCGGGCTTCATTAGCAAGTGCGGTATGCCTACATTACCCTCCTAGTTCGAACGAGGAGGGTAGTGTAGACATACCCAAAGAGAAGAGAAATCACATGATCAGTCCCACTCAGGTTGCTCATTTAGCTGTTCTTTGGAAGGTCACATGATGTCCAGGACAGAGCAAGTCATAAGTAGCTTGTCCCTTAACAATAGAGTTTGGGCCTGCAACTGATTCTCCAGGGTTGAGTCGCAGTAGTTAAGTGTAGCAACAACCAATATTACTTTTTTTGAAAAACTACATTGAAAGTAGGGCTGCAGTACATACGCTGAAGCACGTCTGCTAGAGTTCTAGCAGCCTTGGGAAGGATATACATGTTGAACTGCCCTTGTCCGGCACCCTCGGGACCCAAGTGGTCCCAAACAAAGGAATTTGCCAGACCAGGGGAAGTCAGGCATCGGGGTTCACCTTGCAGACCTGACCTCCTCCAGTCCACCCCCGTGGGTGTGCTGCCCTCAGCCAGCACATGGGGCTCTGCTCCCTGCTCCATATGGGCAGCAGCTGCTCCTGGGGTTCCCCAGCCCCATGGACAGCAGCAGCAATGGGTCCTGAGAGTCACTACCCCTGCAGGCTGCCACCCACCAAACCAGCTCTGCACCCAGCTATTCTCAACTTCTGTGGCTGGGCTCTTTGATCTAGCAACATCTGTGCGCCTGCTAGACCACGGGTGTTGCCTGATTAGGGAGTCCCAGAGGAGAGGTACAACCTGTAGTTGCATTAGGAATGATTAAAACAGGGATAGAGAATAAGACGGAGAATATCTTATTGTCCATATATAAATCCATGGTACACCCACATCTTGAATACTGAGTTCACATTCAGTCTCCTCATCTCAAAAAAAAAGAAAGCATTAGAAAAAAATTCAGAAAAGGGCAACTAAAATGATTAGGGATTTGGAACATGTCCCATATGAGGAGAGATTAAAGAGACTAGGACTTTTCAGCTTGGAAAAGAGGAGACTAACGGGGGATATGGTAGAGGACTATAAAAATCATGAGCAGTATGGAGAAAGTGAATAAGGAAAAATTATTTACTTGTTCCCATAATGTAAGAACTAGGGGCCACCAAATGAAATTAGTGGGCAGCAGGTTTAGCACAAAGAAGAGGAAGAAGTTCTTCACACAGCATGCAATCAACCTGTGGAACTCCTTGCCTGAGGAGGTTGTGAAGGCTAGGATTATAACAGGGTTTAAAAGATCTAGATAAATTCATGGAGGTTAACTCCATTAATGGACATTAGCCAAGATGGTTAAGGAAGGGTGTCCCTAGCCTTCATTTGTCAGAGGGTGGAGATGGATGGCAGGAGAGAGATGGTTTGATCATTACCTGTTCGGTTCACTCCCTCTGGGGCACCTGGCATTGGCCACTGTCGGCAGACAGGATATTGGGCTGGATGGTCCTTTGGTCTGACTCAGTATGGTCATTCTTATGTTATGTTCTTATGCATGTGTGGGTGCTATTTTCTACATTAGGCCACTATTGCCATGTTTAGGGTTCACCAAGGAGACATCTGCACCCAGTTAAACTTTGTTGTAAAAGTGAACACAAATGGGGGAGCCAGTCACCATTAATTATGGCTGATGCCAATCAGGTCAGATGAAGTCATGACCACCACTGAACTGAAATCATTTAGAGGAGACACCAACTAAGAACCTGAGTTAAGTGCATTTTAGCAGGATAAGATATTTCATGAATTTGAGAACACACAAGTACTGTTTAGTCCTTGCAAGTTTATATACACTTTGCATTGTGCCATTTATACTTTATATATTTGCTTACTTCAGCAGTGTGCAATTCGTCACCATCATTTTGGCCTGCATTTTTCTTCCATTCTACCCAGGAGTGATATACCATTTCCTGGGCATCATGAAGTTTCTGGTTGGCACTATTCATATTCTTTCTGGCATACTCAATCTGTAAAGCAACCAATGAGGTAGTAAAGCAAGAATCCTGAACAGTTTAGGGTTGTTATAAATGACTTTTAGCCCACCCCATTTCTTTTGCAAATCATTTAAAAGTTGTTGGGTGAGGCCATTTTTAGAGGTACAGATGAGGAAAACCCCATTTCTTTTGCAAATCATTTAAAAACTGTTGGGTGAGGCCACTTTTAGAGGTACAGATGAGGAAACAAACAAACAAACAGCTGTCTTCTAGTAGTATTTTGTGGGTAATTAAAGTAATTGTGCAGGTCAGAGTCGGGGCTACGCCTAGACTGCAGACTTCTTGAGCAAGAAGCTTTTTTTGCGGAAGATGTCTTGAGATATATTTCTAGCGCAAGAGCGCAACCACACTGCAAAAGGGCATCGAAAAAGCAATGTGCTTGTGTGACAGAGCGTACAGACTGCATGGACGTTCTCTCAAAAGTAAGCCCTGATTGCTATGCACAGAATGGCCACCAGCGCACCTGTGCTCCCTCCCCCACCCCTTCCTGCACAAAAAAGCCCTCTTCCCCGTCCACATATGCCTTTTTGCATAAGAACTCTTATGCAAAAAGGTATTAATTCCTCGTAGAAAGAGGAATACCAATTGCGCAAAAACCCCTCTGTTCTTTCAGTTCTCTTGTGCAAAAAACGCACTTGAGGTGTGGACGCTTGGTGAGTTTGTGTGTGTGTGTGTGGGGGGAAACACCTGTAGTGTAGACATAGCCTGAGCGTACTGTTTCTGATTTTGTTCATTAAAATGTGTTCTGTACATTGATTCCACCAATGCAGGAGCACTCAAGAACAGTTAGTTCCAACTGCAAAGTTAGTAATAGCAAGGTTTACACAGTGTGCAGTAATAGAAAATTGATGTAAGATTGCATCTCTTTTGCAAAACTAACTTTGGGGATTGAATGTATCTGTTGAGGTTTGAGTTGAGCACTTGAAAGAATGTTGGTGTTTTGTACCGTTCAAAACTTCTTTATCCAAACAAAAGACATGTTTCTTTGATAAATAGTTCTTAGAGATTACCAAGACATTTTGGATTTATACCTCACACTGAGACACACACACAAAAATCAGAATTCTCTTTAACTTACCAGACTGACAGTGTAATTGAGCTGCGAAATGGTCTCTTGGCTTTTGTTCTTAGCATCTTTAATCCGGATTAAGGCCTGTTGGTAGGCACGGGTACGGACCTTTGAAGACAAGGATCCTAGTCTAACGTAGTAGCTTGGCTTTTGAACTCCAACTTCGAATCCTTCAACCTTGGTAACTTCTTTTGCTAGAGAGTTCAAAGCAGGTTTGTTTGGGGGGTTTTTTATTAAAATTTTGCAGCCTAGCCTCGAACAGAGAGGAGGTCCAACATACATCTGGTAGGGATGTGTGTGTAGCTGACTGATAAGTTGATGCTTATTGGTTGATGGCATCTGTGACAATCACTCAGCTCCTGGGGAGGCAGCTTTGCTACAGCAAAATTTAAACTATATAGCAGAGCCCACAGCATGTAACTGCTGAGATTTTCTGCTGTTACACAGGGTATGTCTACACTTGCACCTTCTTTCGAGAGAGGGATGCAAATGAAGACATTCAGAATTGCAAACAAAGCCAGGATTTAAATATCCCGTGCTTCATTTGCATAATTGTGTTATGGCGCTATTTCAAAACGAAACTGTTAAGATGCGGTTATTTCGAGAGAAAACCCTTTTCTCAAAATAACTGGTAAGCCTCACTGTATGAGGAATAACGGTTATTTCAAGAAGGGTTTTAAGATGCAGTTATTTCGAGAGGAAACAGTGTCTTATTTCAAAATAGTGCCACAATGCAATTATGTGAATGAAGCACGGGATATTTAAATCCCGGCTTCATTTGCCATTTTGCATGTCTTCATTTGTATCCCTCTCTCGAAAGAGGGTGGAGTGTAGACATACCTACAGTTACCTGTTTAACCAACTTTTAACATCTGGATGGGGAAAACCCACCCTTTCATTTTGAAGATGCTGTTTTCCTTCATATGCCTCCCCTACTGACAAGAGTCCATCACGGTTGGTACAGTGAAGGGCCAGGTCTGCAACTAATGTCGATGTGGTGCATGTACTCCATTCAACTAGCACAGTGGTCACCAAACAGTAGATCAGGATCTACTGGTAGATCTTGGAGCCTTGACAGGGGATCGCTGATTGGTTTGGCCAAGAAGTTATCAAGTCCAGCACTTCAGCTGCCCCTCCCCCTACTGCTGCACATCTGCCCTTTGCCTTGGAGTGGTCTCCTCAGGAAACCCTGCTTTCTGTGCAGGGGAGAGGAGGGGGTGCTGATGACAAGGCGCCCCCTCCCACCCGGTTTCCTATCTCCACACAGTAGGGCAGGGGGCACAACATGACTTGGGATGGAGTTCACTGGCTGCTTTTGTGAGTGGTGCAGGACCAGGGCAGGAGTGAACCTGCTTTAGCCCCACTGCACCACCACCCAGGAGCCACCTGCGGTAAGCAGTGTCCAGCTGGTGGCTACATCTCAACACCCTACCCCAGTCATGAACACCCCCTGTACCCCAAGTCCCTGCCCTAGCCCTGAGCACCTCTAGATCCAAATGCCCTCCCAGAGCCTACACCTACAACCCCCTGAAAGCCTAACTGTCTGCCCCAGGCTCAGCTCAGAGCTTCTCACACTTCAAATCCCTTAATCCAAGACCAGAGCCTACACCCCAGCTCTCTGCCCCAGACTGAAAGGGAGGGAGAATGAGGTGGGAGTGGGGGAGGGGGAAGTGGGAGGGAGGATGGAGTGAGCAGGGTGGGGGCCTCAGAAGGGGCACAAAGGAGGCAGGGCGAGGGTATTTGGGTTTGAGGTAGATCCTGGATTGCACTTAAATTCAAAAAAGTTATTTTGGGCTTAAAAAGGTTGGAGTCCACAGAACTAGTAGGAGTGTGAAGTGACACTG